TGCTGTCAGTGCCCCGGGGGCTGGCGAGGCACACGGACCCGAGCTCGCATCCTCCCCGCGCTGCAGGGGGATGTCCTGCGGGGCCTGTTCTCAGGTGCTGACCAGCCGGCAGCAACAGCTCTGCCCCGAGGGGGGACGCGCTCCCCGGCCTCTTCGGTGGCTGTGGACACCCGGGTCAGGGTGCTTTCTATGAGGACAGAGGCGAGTGGTTCAGAGAAAGGGCCCTGGGCAGAGGTCAGAGGTCAGAGGGTGGTCGCCAGCACCTCTGGGAGAGAGGCTGGGCAGTGAGGGCCGCCAGGGCATCTTGCGTTTCTCCCCATCCCAGCGATGCTGCCCTGCTGGGGCCTCGGGAACACGCCCTGAGCAGTGCACACAGGGCCCTTCGGACACGCCTTCTGTCTTCTGAGTCTTCCCAGGCCCCGCACTCCCTTGTCATTACTCCTCACAGCCGTGTTAGGAATGGGGTGATTTCCCCGGGTTTGTGGGGAGCAGCTCTGTGCCTCATTCGAACCTGCGGAATTTTAATACATGGAGGTGACTGGCATCGTGGAGAGGCCAATGGCTCCGAAAGAGGAATATGTTACTAACATTTCCAGAGAAGAGGGCGTGCCACGCCACCAGGGCCACAGGGGAAGGACCAGGGCTGGTCAGGAGGCAGGAGAGGTGCGAAGGGAGGGCATGGTCCAGAACCTCTATTGGGGTTTTCGCGGGAAGGAATGGATGAGGCAGGGTAGGTACCCGAAGTGTGGGACTGGATGGTTTGAATAATGTTGTGCACTTGGGGGTGTGGGGTGGTCTCTGGGTGATGTAGGGTAGGGAAATACCCCCGTGGTGTGCGATCAGGAGGGGCTGGGGTATAGGCGCAGGACTATCTGTGAGAATTGGCTAGTCCTGGGAGGGGCAGCCTCTCGTTGACCAGCAAGCTTTTTAAGAATGTCAAAGCATCATCAGCACAGAAGGTGAGGGACCGGGAGTCACAGAGCTGGCGCCTTTCACAGACGTCACGATGCGTCAGAGGGGTTAGGAGCAAAGGGCAGGGCAGCAGCGAGGGCTGGGCTCGCAGGCAGCCACCGCCATGCACGTGTCATGCCAGAGGCCCGGGTCTGGGAGGCAGGGACATTGTTCCCTTCGCCACGCCCACATGAGGTGAACCACGGGGTGGCGTGTGGGGACACAGGTGTCTCTGGTTGCAACCCAGTGTCAGTGGTGCACGGCCGTGCCCGAGGGTCCGGGGCGTGTCTCCCTCCGCCTCTTCCTGCCACCCTCCCTCCTCCTCTCCTTCACTCCGGCCTGCCAGGCCTGCCATGACTGCTTCAGGGACCCACTGGGGCTGGCGCCCGAGGGCGGCCTAGAAAACAGACCTGCCTCTCCCTCTGCAGGCTTCACCCGCAGTGGCCGCGGGGGTCTGCCTTGTGGGCCAGTGTTGCCTGCCTTGGACCTGAGGGGGGCTTAGGATGGTAGATCTTTAGAGCAGGGACATGGAGAAGAGGCGCACTAAGAAGTAGGCTGGTGTGGTGCGTGCAGCTGTTCTCAGGCTGCCGTGCTGTGGACGCCTCATCTTCCCGCAGCATCTGTCCCTGGGGTTCCACATGGCTACACAGCCCACAGGGAGATGCAGTAAAGGAGCCATCTCAGGGAGAAAAGCGTTTGCAGCAGAGGCTGGAAATGAGTTGGAGGGTTGATGAGGCGGAGAGCTGGGGGAGGCTCTTTCAAGGGCAGGATCCTCGAGGGGGTGGCAGCCGCATCGCTTACATTTGCATCTGCTGGGCTGTGTGGGGCCTGGGAGGAAGCGGGGTGTTGGGAGGAGGGGAGGTGGAGCTGGCAGCAGCAGAGAATTAAAGACATAGCTCAGGACCGTTTCTGGTCTGAGTTATAATTTTAGGAATGGAGGAAGGAAAGATTTTAATGGTATTTCAGAGATGTCATGCCTTCCTTCTCTCTGTAGTCTCAAGGGGTCGAGAGGGAATTGTTCCAAAGGCCTGTTGTCACCTGCCATTCTAGCCAAGCCCGCGGCCGCCCTCCATCTGCTGCAGGGCTAGAGCTGGAGGGAGGAGGGGGTTCTGTGACCCCAGCCGGGGCTGGCTCCCTGCTCCTGGGATTGGATCCAGCCACATGCTGCTGAGGTTGACGGGGGTTCCCCTGCTAGGCCTGAGCACTGTGGGAGGAGGTGGTGGTCGGGTGGCAAGAGCAATTTCTAACGTAAGATTTAGGACCTGGGAATGCAAATGTGTACTAGTTTTTAGGAAAACCGCTCTGGGAGGTGAAACACTTTATCTCGCTTATGCTTTCATTGTTCTAAATGTCCTTGGGGTTTCTCTTTGGGTATTTCTTTCAGAACCAGTGTACAAGCAACAAACAACCTTGTTACTCTATAGACATCTTTGTAACTATACCCTTCGTCCTTACCACCCACCTTATGCATCTGGGTTAGCTCTGAATTTCTTTCCCCCTTTTTTGTTGTTACTCCTCACCTGAGAATATTTTTTGCATTGATTTTTTTTTTTTTTTAGAGAGAGTGGAAGGGGCGAGAGAGAAACATCGATGTGAGAGACACATCGATTGGGTGCTTCCTGCATGAGCCCCAACCAGGGCCAGGGATCGAGCCTGCAACCGAGGTACATGTCCTAGACCAGTGATGGCGAACCTTTTGAGCTCGGCGTGTCAGCATTTTGAAAAACCCTAACTTAACTCTGGTGCCGTGTCACATATAGAAATGTTTTGATATTTGCAACCATAGTAAAACAAAGATTTATATTTTTGATATTTATTTTATATATTTAAATGCCATTTAACAAAGAAAAATCAACCAAAAAAATGAGTTCACGTGTCACCTCTGACACGTGTGTCATAGGTTCGCCATCACTGCCCTAGACTGTAATCGAACCCAAGACCCTTTTGGTGTGTGGGCTGACACTAACCACTGAGCACACCAGCAGGACTCTTTGATCTACTTTTAAACATCGATTCCTTGGTGCGGAGATCTGGAGCCTGGCGTCTGTTGTGCTCCTGCTTCTCTCTCTGGCTCAGGGGTGGTCCCCTGCCTGGCTCGCTGGGCAGTGTGGGGGGCGGGGTTTCCTGTCCCTGGGCCTCTGTGGACTGTTCTGGGTCTCGGCTGGGAGGGATGCTGCTGCGTCCCCCTGGCTCCTATGCATTGGCCTCTGTGCAGTTTGGGAGGCAAAGAGCAGCCTCTGGGGACTTCAAACTGATGGCAGGAGCCTCGAGTAGCAGGCCCAGCCCTAGTGGAGGGACTGAGCGGGCTTGAGCCGTGCGGGAGGAGTCGTCAGGGCCAGCGCTTCAGTTTCTCCTCTGCCGCCAGCTTGGGAGCCTCGTCTCCGCCTTGGGCCCGGGTCCGCAGGGCCTGCTGTGGGCTGCCCTTCTCCCTGGGCTCACGCGGCCTTAGCAGCCACAGGGGGCTTGTCTCGTAGAACAGATGCTACCTGCATCTCTGAGGGCGTAGCCTTCTGCCCGCTTGGGGGACCTGAATTGCGTGTGTGATTCCTGGTGGAGGGCCCTCCATTAGGGTCTGTGATGACCCGTAGCTCTATAAACCTGGTGCCGAAAGGCGGTGGTATTAACACTTGTGAACTGCTGTTCCCTCCCCTTGGTAGGCGATCTCCAGAGCTCGTGGCTCTCCCAGAGCAGCTCCCAGAGGCCACCCGGAAGGCCATGGAGGAGGCGTTGGCTCAGGAACTGGAGCAAGAGCAGAGGCGGCTCCTGGAACTGAAGCGGGAAAAGGTGCAGCAGCTGCAGCAGAGGCTGCGGCAGGAGGAGGAGGAGGAGGCGCTTCAGCTTCGACAGCGGAAAGAGGAGTCTCTGAGGTGCGGCCCACCGCCCTCCCAGACAAGCTGCAGGGCCTCCAGGACTTGTGAGGAGGGACCCACGCCTCCCTCCTGGGGGCCACTGGATGCCCGCGGCCTCTCTAGGATCCTCCTCGCCGGCCTGTGTGGAGGAATGGGCTCCCAAGCCAGGGTGCCTGACCCCTCTGTCTTTGGTGGGGAGTTGGGAGGTGTGATCGTGATGGGAGTAACTGGTGTCTTTTGAGAGACTGCACTGATCCATGTGCTTTATTTTATTTTATTTTTTTTAATATACATATACTGGATGCCTGGTGCACAAAATTCGTGCACTGGGGGGAGGGGTTGTCCCTCAGCCCAGCCTGTACCCTCTCCAATCTGGGATCCCTCTCACAATCTGGGACTGCTGGCTCCCAACCGCTCGCCTGCCTGCCTGCCTGATTGTCCCTAACCACTTCTGCCTGCCTGCCTGATCACCCCTTAACCACTCCCCTGCCAGCCTGATCGATGTCTAACTGCTCCCCTGCCAGCCCGATTGCCCCCAACTGCCCTCCCTCCCCTGCAGGCCTGGTCCTCCCCAGCTGCCCTTCCCTGTCGGCCTGGTCCCCTCCAGCTGCCTTCCCCTGCCGGGATCGGGCCTAAATGAGCAGTCAAACATCCCTCTCACACTCCAGGACTGCTGGCTCCCAACTGCTCGCCTGCCTGCCAGCCTGATCATCCCCTAACCATTCTCCTGCCAGCCTGATTGACACTTAACTGCCCTCCCCTGCTAGCCTGATTGCCCCCAACCGCCCTCCCCTGACGGCCTGGTCGCCCCCAACTGCCCTCCCCTGTAGGCCTGGTCCTCCCCAGCTGCCCTCCCCTGCCAGCCTCGTCCTCCCCAGCTGCCCTCCCCTGCTGGCCTGATCGTCTACAACTGCCCTCCCCTGCCAGCTATCTTGTGGCGTCCATCTTGTGCAAGGCCGTGATGGTCAATTTGCATATTACCTCTTTATTATATAGGATATTTTATTGATTTCAGAGAGGAAGGGAGAGGGGGAGAGAGATAGAAACATCAATGATGAGGGAGAATCATTGATTGGCTGCCTCCTGCAGGCCCCGCACTGGGAATGGAGCCCACAACCCAGGCGTGTGCCCTGACCAGGAATTGAACTGTGACCTCCTGGTTCATAGGTTGATGGTCAACCACTGAACCATGCTGACCGGGCTCCATGTGCTTTATATCTATGACTTCGTTAGTCTTCTGAACAGCTCTTACGAGGTGTTATTATCAACCCCATTTTATAGAATGTATAACGTAGACAAATTGAGGCACCAGTAGGTGAAGTCCCGTCCCAGGTCTGGAAGCTGAGACGCAGCAGAGCCTCTTAGCCAGAGGCTTATCTCTGAAGCCCATTGTCTTAACTCCTGCAGCTCCTCTTCCTTGGGAGTCGGGGCCCTGCCGGGACCATGGGTTTGGTGGGGCCTCGCGCTGCAGTGGGAGGAGCTCTTGCCCAGGACTCACCAGTTTCTGTTTGGGTTCCTGCTCTTTGCCTGGCTGGCTGGGAGGCCCTAGCCCAGTGATGGCGAACCTATGACACGCGTGTCAGAGGTGACACTCGAACTCAATTTTTTGGTTGATTTTTCTTTGTTAAATGGCATTTAAATATATAAAATAAATATCAAAAATATAAATCTTTGTTTCACTATGGTTGCAAATATCAAAAAATTTCTATATGTGACATGGCACCAGAGTTAAGTTAGGGTTTTTCAAAATGCTGACACGCTGAGCTCAAAAGGTTCGCCATCACTGCCCTAGACAAATAAGACCCTTAAGCCTGGCCAGGCGTGCGTGTGTGTGATTGTATGTGTGTACAGTGGAACCTCGTTCCAGAAGGCTGTTTGAGAAGCACTTTGTTCAAAAACGCAATCCTTTTTTCCCATTAGAAATAATGTAAATGGAAGTAATCTGTTCCAGACCCCCAAATGATTCCCTGTTTCCATCTTTCTTACACATAGTACATGTCTAATGTACTGTTTAATCTATAAACACTTCTTACATTCATCGAACCCCCTGCTAGCCTTAAAGGAATTTTTCATCTGTCACTGCCTCTGAAATGCTATCACACAGGCTCACTGCTTTTCCTTTATCCAAATCAAACAACAGCTTTTCTACCTCTTCAATTGCCTGTGATTGCTGTTTTGTGAGCACTTTCACACCCTTAGCAATATTAGTGCTCTTTTTTTTAAAAAAAATATTTTATTGATATTTTACAGAGAGGAAGGGAGAGAGATAGAGAGTTAGAAACATCGATGAGAGAGAAACATTGATCAGCTGCCTCCTGCACACTCCCCACTGGGGATGTGCCCGCAACCAAGGTACATGCCCTTGACCAGAAT